AGGCCGTTGTGACTCTGTCTCAGTAACGGAGGAACACGAGCGGTACCTCTCCAGGACTAAGAATTTGCCACCCCAATCGCAATGTACAGTCTGGCTACCCCTGCCACGGCTACCGGATGCACTCGTGGCTGCGCTGCAAAAATCTGGGGGTATTAGACTTTCCGATCCCCGTAGATCGCCCGGTAGATCGAGCAGTTCGGGGTGATTACAGAGCTTCTTCAATATGTTGATGGCCTTTAACGGCTGCGCAACAGCCCCTCGCAAGAGAGCCTTCACTTCTGATGATGTTATGAACAAGCGGTACAAAGCGAGCTGGAATTCTGATAATCCACAAAACACAACCTGCTCATATTTGACGGGTACTGGATCCTCGATGTTAGTAAGCGGACACAGACCAGGTGTATTGCACGTACGGTATTTCGACAGGAGGTCATTCGTCCGACGAATAATGAATTTCGTCACCAGAGCACCCAGTTCTTTCAGCTTCTCCTCGCTCTTAGCCTTGATCTCATCTGTGGCATCCGCGTCCCTGCCTCGGATGATGATGTTCTCAAAGTTCTTGCGAAAGTCGTTCTTGGATCCCAGCAAATTGGGATTAGCGAAGTTAAGTAGGGAGAAATACTCGGACAGATCATTCTGCGATACTCAGCACTTGCAAATCATTAGAGGTAGGAATTAGGTACCTGGATGGGGGTTCCTGTCAAGATGACACGTCGCTTAACATCCAGTGCATCCAGTGCTTGGAACGTCTGCGACTCTGATATGTATTGTCAAATGATACTCAGGTCGGGTCGAAGTGAATTGTCTATCCTTACCGGAATTCTTGAGTCGATGACCTTCATCACAAAGCAGAAGGCCAATACTAGCAGAGCCCAGGTAGGGCGAGATAGAGCGCAGAGTCTCGTAGGATACAATCATCACTGCAAGCAGAGTGAGTTCGTATAGTATAGCGCGCAAGACACAAGGAAATACCTGGCTGAGCAACGTTTCGGCCTGATGCGGCGACCCATCGTTCCACCCTTTGCACTAACTCTGCCTTACCACCTTTACCATCTACCGCCAACGCATTTATCGTATCTTTCCCCAGCCATTTGGCTGGAAAGATGATTAAGTGAAGTAGTAAAGTAGAGTAGCTGTGAGGATACACGCACTTAGTTCATTAGCCCAGTTCTTTACTAAGCTTGCGGGGCAAGCGATGATGCATTTCTCGATGGTCCCCTTACCGGCCCGCGGGGATTGCTTGATTAGCGTCCATAAGAGAGCGATGCACTGCAGAGTCTTCCCCAGACCCATCTCGTCGGCCATAATGCAGCCATACTGACCAGGTTCTACCGCTCCAGTAGTGCATTTGTAAAGGAACTATTGAGGGGTGAGCAACCTGAGAACGGTTAACATCCTGACTCTTACCTTGACTCCTTCAACTTGATGAGGGCGGAGTACCTTAGACAGCGTCGGGTCGATAACAACAGGTACCTTCTGATTCTTCCTCTTCTTCTCTTTACCGCCACCCAGCAGTTCTTTCAGACTCTTATGAGGATTATACAGTCCAGCGTGTTTCTCTTGCGCTTCCTTCAGCAGCCTCTCTTTCTCCTCTTCCTTCTCCCTTTCCTTCTTTTCCTCGTCTGTTTCGCCGTCGTCAACGGTGGGATCGAATAGTACTATGGCATGGTCCTCCATGGGATCGTGCAGCGGTCGGGGGATTATGTTGGGCTGAGGCCGGATACCTAGGGAGACATTAGAAGGCGTAACTGGGACTATCTCTCCATCCTTGTTCCGCATTTTCGGTATGGAGAATGTCCGCGCTATCTGGTCGAAGGGCTTGGGCTTGTACACTGGATATTTCTTGATTGCAGGACTAGCGTCATTCTCGTTGTAGGCAGCATCACCCTCACTCTTTCTCCTCTTCTTCTTAGATGCTGGATTCTCCTCCGCGTCAGAGTCCTCTGCAGCTCCCTCTTCCCTGTAGGAAACGCGTCTGCGCTTGCGCTGTGGCTGATCGCGGACGACAGCTGATGCAAGGGTGGGTGGCTTGAACGGCTTGTTCAGGCGGTTGCTGTCTTGCAGTCTGTCAACGACAGCGCCGTCCTTGGTGGTTGGTGTCCGTCGTAGCATTATGTGGCGACAGGCGTGGTGAGTTACGCGTGACAATGGGCGATGATGAGCAAGGTCGCGTCTGTCACGTGAGACCCAAGGAGATTGGCTCTATTTGGCTCCGGACGTTGCCGGGCCATCGCACTTTTCGATCGACTGCAGGGAGCAGCCTCCCCGGATTGAAGGCTTCACACTCCCCGTGTATAACACGTTGATCTTTGTACCCATACGATGAGGATTGAGAAGTGCTACTTCTGCTCAAAAAGCGTTTATCCTGGTCATGGTATGTGGGTTTCACTTTCTCCGGCCTTTGTCGATCTCTGACCCTGGATTGTAGGTTCCGCATTCGTGAGGAACGATGCCAAAGTTTTCCGGTTCTGCACATCAAAGTGCGTACCAAGAGATTGCAGACAGTGGCTTGTATCTAACGATCTTATTTCTAGGTGCCATAAAAACTTCAAGTTCGTACCCGTACTCGCTTCTGGATTCGCAATACTGATCTACATCTAGAATGAAACGCAACCCCCGTAAAGTGAGATGGACGAAGGCGTTCCGAAAGGCGGCAGGAAAGGAGATGACGGTCGTACGTCGCACTTCATTTCTGGTTTGTTGATATAAAACCCTCTAATCCTTCCTAGGATTCAACTATTGACTTCGAGAAGCGAAGAAACGTTCCTGTACGGTACGACCGCGAGCTGGTGCAGACAACGGTGAAGGCTATGAAGCGGATAGCGGAGATCAAGAAGAGGAGGGAGCATGCCTTCTGGAAGCACAGGTGCGTCCCCACCTTTCGTATCGTAGTACCCTCCTGACCATTCGAACAGAATGGCAGCGGCGAGGGAGAAGATGAAGGCGCACCGGACGAAGAAGTCGGAAATCAAGTCAAGACCTTCTGTCAAACTGGTCCAACCCATGACTGTGGAGTCCGAAACCGTCATGGTCCGGGAAAAGATCAAGGTGCCTGCCTCATCCAAGTCCCGGAGTGCACTTATCCCCGGAGAAGGGCAGTCCATGGGTATGGATGTCGATTGAGGTATTATTTGCGGTATGGTTAGAGTCAGAGTCCCTTGCATCACCTATTTGCGTCGCACGCGAATGGCCCTGGGATGCAAATGTATAATACAGGGTGGCATATCTATGATACAGTGTGTGTATGCTAATATGTAGGCCTACAGATGGGAGAGATGCCGCCTGATGCTACAACGTCTGTGCTTGTGTATCTGATAATTCGAATCCTCAGCGACGTTTATACTTTGCTTCGGCTTCCTGGCGGACGCTAGGATCCAAGGTATTCTGCAGGCCGAGAAGTGTCTTGCTGACGGCTTCGCTTGCTCCTATCATCGGCTTCAAGACAGCTATTGGCACCGCCCGTATTACCGCACGCACAGGCCCCTGAGGGAATAACGGATTAATAAACTCGTTGTACTCAATCCTGCAAGTCCTGACCTCATTGCCTGACCGCTCGTACACCTCCATGGGCACCGCCAGAATGGTTTGAGCAGCAGAACTGAAGTTCCTTCGAAGACTCTTGTATGCAGATTGTATCCCCTCCTTGATGTCGCTAGGCTGCTCTGCATAACGGCTGATAAGATCTTGCGCCTCCTCATCATGGCCCAATAATTCTGCTCCCGGCTCCCCGTACTCATCATCGCCGGGTATCTGCAGTGCCTCCATTGTGAGAGGCTCGACGAATTGGCCTCCTAGCACGTTCTCAGCCTGCTCCAAGATTACTTGCGTACCGGTCGCGAGACGAGCGCCTAGCTTGATAGCTTCCATGGCCGTGGATCTCACAAACGCGGACGTGCCTTTCTGGACGCCGCGTATTACCCGACCATCCTTCTTGTACTGGGCGATTGGCAGCAGGACAAGGTCTGCAACCCCGGAGCCCACGTTGACGACAGATCGGATAGGCGACACGCCCGAAATAATGTCGACCATCTGAGTTGCCTTCACGTCCGGCGTCCACAGGTCGTTCAGCATGTCAAATAGGCGCGGCCAACCAGTGATCTGAGTTATGGTCAGTTTTCGCGATGCACACAAAAACTGTATTTGTGCTCACTCCATACAAGGTGAGATGGCGAAGGGTCATCTCCGCCCCATCGAAATGGAAAAAGTTCATGAGCTCAATAGTCTTTCCTTCCTTCAAGGCTCTGTAATCCACGCGACGTGGCTTATAATCGAGCTTGAGATCGACAGGGAATATCTCAGCATATTCTGGTTTGTGGGTCTGACTCAGCTAAGGCACAGAAAGAAAGATATGGCGCGCACGTATATAGATCCCTTCATCGGGATTACTGGGCGGTGGTGCTTTAGGTGCCTCCTGATCCTGGAAACTGAAGAATTTTTTGAAGAAGTCTAAAGCATCCTGATCGACATTCAATCGGAGAGGTAATATCTTCGCCTAGGGCAAATTCAGTGTCAATTCTGGGGAGACCTGTTAAAACCCCACCTTTACTCTGGCTTCTTCAGAAGGATTTCCGGGCACTGGCCGGACATTGCAGAGCTCCATCCGAACCATGTTGGAATCAGTCTCCCGCATATTGCCTCGAGAATCGGTTATGAGTTCGGAGAGGAACTTCCTCCAGGTAGAAGTCTTGATATGGTCCAAGATCTCGAGGTCCTTAACAGTAGCGAATGTTCTTGAGGCAAGGCCTTTATCAGGGCCATATTGATCCACCGTAGCTTGCACAGACGCAAGGCGGATCTCAATGCTAGGTCCCTTCGAGCGAGTCAGTTTGCGATGCCGCAGACGCGTAGACTTCGTAGCAGGCGCTCCAGCAGCCTGAGGTCGAAGAGACTGCCATGAACTCTGAGTCTCGTTCTCGAAGTCTTCCTTGAGCTCCTCATCTATGGCGGCAATAATTGCACCGGGCTCCATCTCGTCTAGATCTTGTTCCAACCCGATATAAACGGAATTGAACAGGACCGCGCTCGTCTCTTCCACGTGTGGGTCGTACGTTTGTCCGCTTGCAATCAGTTGACGTATCCTCGCTAGTCGCCGTTTCATAGCCTTCATTTCCTCTTCGATAATTCTACGAGTCCTTGCCCAGTCATAGCCATCGTAGAGGAAAAGTGAAACGTTACAATCATCAGCGCGGACACGTAACGTGGTCTCGTCGATTCTATAAGTATGCCAATCAGCGAGCAGGGACTTGGAGGTGCGTAAGACGACACCCACTCGGGACTTTCATCGAGTGACTCCGGTGCAATTGTCTCGAAGTAGTCCTCTATTATGTGAATGCCTTCCGGGTCTAGCATCCTGATCGTCTCCCCTCCGACTTTGGAGACGATACCGGTCACATAAGAAGGCGTTTCGCTGGTGGGAATGTCTTGTTCGTCGAATTCATCGAGGTCGTCGTCCGTCAACTCACGAAATCCTGCAGCTGCTCCGAAAGAAGCATCGAGATAGTCCGGATTAGTGGGTAAGTCGTCGCTGATCATGTCAGGCGCCGCTCCAACTTCGGGGACTCTTTTGAACGCGTGCTCGTCCATGGAATCTTGGGCTAGTGTCAGCATGGACCAGACCACTGAGCTAGAAGAGAATTACATGCTAGGCTGCGGTAGGGATCATTCGTGACATCGGTTGGTCTTCGCTTCAACACGGGGGCCGTCCCTCTGAACGCAACTGAGAAAGTGTTCCACGGGTCTAGTAGACTCAACGAACCTCTCTGCTGCCGGTGGAAGGAACAATGTCCCGAAGTCGCTTATGAAGGCGGTCAGAGCTGCAATAGTGTCCGCACATAAGTGAATTCGCAGATCCAGCCCTTGTATGATAATCTGGGAATGTAGGTCAATAAGCGACACAAAGCGTGGCCAAGAGGAGCAGACCTCAGTTTCTGGAAGGACATGCCTCTTGACCCTAGAGAACCTCAACTGGAAATCAATGACTTCACAAAGCAACGCGTAACCGGTACTCTAAAATTTTTTGAGCTCGCGTTGCGCGAGGAAGGCGACTACCGCACGGACATACCTTCCAATAAGATTTGCTAGGGCCAGAGACGGCGGGGGTTTCTACAACTGCGGCGTTGTCATCGATCATGAACACCGAAAGCTCTGGTACGGTCAGACGGAACACTATGTCGGGTGAGCCCCCAACAATATCCGTGTTGAACTCAGTTTCGCCCACATGCACGACCATCGCCCCAGGATGGGTCGGGGCGAGTAGACGCACGGAGCCATCAAAAATTCGGACAGATACTTGAGTTCTTTCACTGGGAACCATGGAGTCGAAGGCCTATGATAGATAATGAGCCCATGAAGAATGTAATGACGAAATGGCTTCTCACTCCAGGCGGGGCTTTGGCGAATTGACCCAAGTCGGACGCCCATTGTAAATCCGGTAGCAGGTTGTATGTGAAACCTGCCAAAGATAGTCTAACTCTTGACTGCTTGGCTGTTCCCCGATCCGAAACGGTGGCTGAAGTAAATCGGAGCTTGAGCATAGGTCTCGTAGGTGATGCCTTTAAGTCCAACCATTACTGAGATATAAGAGGGATCCCGAGTGAATATACCGACCAGGTCTCGCAAGGGTGTTAAAGACAGCATGGTTAGGACCTCTCCTGTCGCGTCAAGATCGCGGATACCGATATTCAAAACAGATAAGGTCATCACAGTTTCATCCTGTTCTCCAATGAAATGAAGTGTCCCTTCAGCGAAGAATGGCCGACGCACCTTTCCCTCGGGTTTCGTTTCAATCAGTAAATCTAGGTCAGATCCGCACAAATCAAATGGGCGAGGTGATCCTGTTTGATCCATAGCTCGGGGAAGCATAATACGTACGAACCCTGACAGATGCAAACCAAGGCATCAGCGACAACCAGATTTTCGTCTTAGTATTAGAGGCGTGCTTACCTTCGCTAAGGCTCAGTTTCATTACCAATTCACTGCTACGGGTGGGCTGGACAATTGAACTGGGACTTGCGTCGCTTGCGGCACCGCTGCTCCCTTGTCGAGTAAAATATCTGCTACCGATCAAGCTGGTAGCTTTGCTACTATCTGCATCCTGTATCCAATACCTCGTGGCGTTCTCCAAGAGTTGAGTGATATCATCCGCCCAAAGCTGGATCCCATCAAAGATGGGCTTGGACAACACCACGTATGCGGAGGGTAAGTCTATAGCGAATACCGTAGCATGTAAAGGAAGGCTAGCATCCGAAGAAGAAGGAAGGGGGGAATGCATCAAACGCAGTCGAGGGAGCAGAGCGAGGACGTGTTTAGGACGTGCTGCGGACGACGTAAAAGCTGTCTCGCTCGGCGTCGACAGAGGACCCAACGATAGAATGCCCATGGCCTTGGAATCACCCACAGGAGCGTAAGAGACAAGCATTCTGCCCCACTGGGCACGAAGGACTTCGTTGCTACTGTTATCCTCAGGGTGGGAAGGTAGATCATCAGGTATATCTACGAACTCGGCGAATCGGGCTCTAGTAGGTGCCTGATGAAGGGACTGAGGACCCATTGACAGCTCGAGTTCGTGAATATCCAAGATTATTGCCCCCGAACGAGGAGTTCGGCCAGCCGTCGGGGGACAGCGAACCTGAACCCGGATCATAGGTACGGCCAGTACTATATCAGGCGACCTTGAGGCTCGACATGCCGCTCCAGACGTCCTCTACACTGCAAGGTCATCAAAAATTTGAGTTACACGGGGAAGATATTCTGACCTTTCCCCTAGCCTTGGGAGCAGCCCTGATGGGCACTCTGGCGTCTTGCGCTCGGTAGTCAAAAGACAGATCAAGATCTTGAAGCACTAGCGCTTCCAATCTTTTCCTTTCTCGCTCTCTCTCGCTCTCTCTAACGTCCGCAATCCTTCTTGGGGTAGCAGGCGGGGTGGTTTCACCAGCCCAATCACGTTCATCCTCTTCATCCGAGTCTTGGGTATCCTCAACATTCGGGCTATTCACCTCAAAACTTGTAGCCTCTGAGAGGAAAGACAATAGCCCGGATTCCCCCGGCTTGCCGATGTGCAATGAGAACAGACCAAGGTCCAGGAAAAAGTGCAGGGGAGCAATATCTATTCTCACCGCAGAAACATCTACCCCCAGTGTGGCCGTCGTCTTGACAGCGTAGACGGGCCGATGCTCTGAGGTCACATCTTGAGTATCGTGACCGTCTGAGCGAGATGACGAGGGCGAGAGAGGAGTAAGTGATTTCAATCCAGGACTCGAACTTGATCTGTGACCAGATCGTCGGCGCGTGCCAGCCTTTGTACGCCATGTGTTGATCTTGGACGACACGGCTCGATGCCGTGGATCTGTCCAGTCCATGATGTCGAAAGTAGGGAGTTCGGGTGCATCCGCATCTTGTTGGAAAGGGTAACCAGCCATTGGAAAACTGTGTCGAGATGTGCAATGCGATGGCAGGTTCGGGTCAGTAACTAAGATGGGCATAATGTGGTAACCGGAGTGGTCGTCTGCGAAAGCATTGTCACGCAAATATGCGAAGGCTGATATTTCACGAAGTTCGAATGTCGCGTTCGTGGTACTTGGCGCCGGTTTGATCTTCGCAGTAGTCTTCCGTTTCGTTGAAGGCTTTGCAGCGGATGAAGATATTCGCAGCGATAATGCTTCCAAGTGGAGCCGTAAATAATTGCCGATCCCTTTGGGAGGAACCAGAGGATGTGAGAAGAACTCCTCCATACGAAGGCTTGCTCCCTGGTCCGCAAAGGCCGATGGTGAAAGGAGCACAATGCACACTACTCCTCTCACCGACGCCTCTACAGACAGCTGATCCAATACACCGGGTTCAGGTGTTCTGGCGGGTGTTGGTCGTGGGCTCGGGGAAGATGGCAGCTGAGAGATGATCCGCAGAATACTCTGCACATGACTGGCGGATATTGCCACGCTTATGACACCAACTGTGATGGACAATTGCGATTTACCCTTCTGTGACCCCTTCATGTCTCTAGACTGTTTCGTTCGCGGCTTTGACGATGCGGAAGGAGCCGGTGGGTTGGCTTCCTGCGCACTTGATGCGCGAAGGGAAGGAGTCGTAAGCCGCATCAGAATAGGTTCTGAGCCAAAAGATAGGATTATATCTCCCTCCATGGCTTCCATTTGCTCCTGTAAAGAAGAACCAGGTGAGGCAGTGGGCGGTGTAGATGGTTGTCGCTCCTCCGCTGGGTTCGAGGCAGACGCTGGTATGCGCTCTTCCACCTGGATAGATGGGCTACCTTGCTCCATGCTAGTACCTTCTTCAGCGTGCCCCGGCTCAGACAGGAATGGATCACCCTGACTCCCACTCTCCTCCAGGACGTCCGAGACGGTGCTCTGCCACATGGCGCCCGGCATGTGTAATCGGGATTCCTGCGAAGACATGGCACTCTGATACATAATGCTCCCCACTGATCCACTCGGCGATGGTGGTCGTACCTTATCTGTAGGCGACTCTGGATCGTGATATGCAGTATCGGCCACTGAGGCCGCGGGGGAGGGTGGCCGTAGCTCGCCTGTGAGCGAGCAGGGACCCAGGTATGCACCAGTTGCCGCTGGATGACTTCGCGAACGTAAGCTGTTGCCAGTGTCACCGGCGGACCTTTGGGATGAAGTTTCGTGATATTGGCTTGAGGACATGAACTCCACGGGCGAGGGAGGGCCTTCCGGCGAGTCCGGCGGTGGAAGCGAAATCATCGAGGCAACTGGACGTGAGACAGGTGTCTGAGAGTCTTGCCTCGATGACTCCAGTCTTCTAGCGTGGTCGCTCTGGGACGATGATTGCAATAACGGTGGATTGGAAGGGCGAGCTCGTCGATAGTCAGGTGTATCCTCCAAGCTAAAGTCTGAGAGTTCATGGTCAACGAACGGCGATTCTGAATAAGCTGGACCGGGGTCATTCTGCTCCTCGGTAACATGATACGCGGAGTAGATGTCAGAGACAGAAACAGACGCTACCGACTGGGATATGGAGGCGGATCCCTCTTCCTGTTCCTGTATAGCCTCTGGTCGAGGGCTGTATAACAACTCTGACGGACGGGGAGGAAGAAATGCCAGTGACTGAGACATCATCATCTGAGTTTCTTCGTCCGTGGAGGAATCAGAGCTATTAAAGGAAGCGGGGGACGGTGTCCTACTTGGGCGAGACTCGACATAGCTTGAAGGAAGATCCTGCACGGAAGTGCGTGGAGGAGGGCGCGTCCTGCTATGAATAGTTGGTGTCTCGCCGGACGGGAAGTCCGGATGAGTGGATACAGGGGACACAGTCCTGCTCCGGATCGGTTGCGCCCCACTCGGGTCAGTGCTTTGTGAGTGAATAGATCCATCAAAGTCACTGCGAATTGAATGGGACGCAGACCTGTCAACAGGAGACACAGGAGATAACGTCGACGCGGTGGACGGAACGTACAGCGACGACCGGATGCGCGAAGGGCGGAGACAACGGGTACTGAGTGTCACGCCAGAGACAGTGAGCACCCGACTTACTCCCCCACCCTGACTACTCGGCTCAGCACTCTCGGGCGACTCTGTTGTATATTGCACGTCCGGCACTGCGAGTGTGAAACTGGCATTGTTCTCGTCCAATATTGTGATCCTCACATCGCGAGCGTCAAACTTGAACCTCGAAAGCAGTCCTTCAATGAGGGTGGCAAATATACCGACGCCTTCAGGGTCGAATTGCCTGTCCACGCCTTCATGGCCTTCAGCATCAGGCGAGTGGAATGGGTCGACGTCAACGTCGAACCCTCCCGGAATATTCTTCATCTCCTCAGCAGCAGGAAAAGCGCCACCAGGAGCGTCAGAATGAATCGACTCCCGTAGCACGGCTTCCTCCTTGGAGGAGAGTTCCTCATGTATGAACGTCTCAGCCACCGACGCTACGGACTCCGCGAGTTGTGCAGAGTTGGGGGGCTTCAGCTTAACTCCAGGGACGACACTCAGTGTCAATTGAAGAGATTGGACGGACATCCCAATAGTAGAAGTCATTGGATTTGGCCAGGGCACGCGAGCCATGACGCTCGCTACCGAGCCCTCCTTAAGCCGTAGTGGGATCCCTTGCAGCAACCGGTTAATAGCCTACTCACGATGCCTCAGTAAAGCAGATCGTATGATGGATCTATTCAAGTCGCGCGCACATCTTCATCCAATCTCAAATCCCTCACTTGTACGAAACCCGAACCGATCTGGGAGTCCACCTGGTTGACATCGAACTGGCCTGGCTTGACGAAATGGCCTAAGGTACGCTTGAGTACAAATGATATAAATCTGCTCTGGATAGCTGAAGGTAGGGCAGAGGATAGATCAATGGACGGCAGAGGCGGTAGCCAAGACGTTATCCAGGAAGTCATGAACGTTGTGGACGAATGCACTTGGAATACAGTCTCCCAAGTCCACGGCCGCGGCGGTCCTGTTATGGCGCAATCCACGTGACCCGGCACGTCGGAATGCCTCCGTGTCCGAGGACAGTGCTGCCGCAGTGGCTCTTCATTCTGGATTACTGCACACGGCGGCAAGGAGGTCTAAGGAGGTTCACAGCTCTCAAGACGAAGCTGCCATGTCGTCTCGTACAGTAGCGATGAATAAATTGACCCCGAACGCCCATTTATTGAATCCAGTACCACAATATTTGGTGAGAGTGCTCCCGAGTCCCTCTCCGAATGATCCTGACAAGGTCCCCAACCCCCAGAGGGCGCTAGTCATAGACTATTTGTTTCAGAACTGTTATACTGATACGGCACAAGCGCTACTGAACGACAGTGGCGTCAGACAGCTAGACGCGGATGGGGACGAAATCATGACCCCGCGGCCTTCCGACGCGCTGTCTCTTCCCCCGGAAGCCATCCGATCACTCGAGTTGCGCAGAGGTAAGCACATATCCCTCTAGTGAGCTCAGTTGCCCCACCGTAATGACTCCGCGCCTGCCAGAAATCCGCGGAAACATTCTCGCAGGCCGTATCGACCAAGCAACAGACATGGTCAATAAACACTTCCCAACAGTACTTTCTGCTCCTCCGTCTTCTCTTTATGATCCACAGGCCTCCTCATCCAGCCAATTCCTTTATGCACGCTCCCTCGAACCGATGCACATCAACCTCAATCTGCGCATACAGGCCTTCATCGAGGCAGTGCGCACTGTCCCCCTCAACTCCGACTCCCCGACACCTGCTCACGCCGACACAGACGCCCACAAGGTTCAACTCATTCAATCTGCTCGCAAACTAAACGTCCTCGTTCAGGCCCTGCCAGATGCGGACGATAGAAAGCGATACTCGGACGAGCTGAAGCACGTCATGAGTCTACTGGCGTATACTGTGCCCGAGAACAGTCCTGTGGCGCGATACATGGGCCCCGAGAGGCGGGAGGCTGTTGCTGACCAGGTTAATAGTGCTATCCTCCGTGAGTGTGTTCGTCAATCTAATGTATGAGTGTTAATGATTGACCGGCAATTTCAGATCGAACGGGCTATCAGTCTGTATCAGGTATCGAGCTCTCTGCTCGGTATACTTCCGTCATATGGTCGTTCCTACATGAGATGGAAGTGAAGTCGCCAGCCGAGAGCAGTAGGCCTGCTGGTATCCGCCTAAATCCTACAACCGAGAGCCCCAGCCCTGCTTCGGCACTTTCGACTAAGACCACCGGCGCTGACAAAGACAACGAAGTTCGTTCATGATTTTGTTCTTTCCGACACAACCTGATTTACCTTCCTACCATAGATTGTACCATCGTTTAGTCTCCACCAGTTCCTGGCGAATCCATGACTTATCATTTGATTCTCGCCATGAACGGTCAGGAACGAGCGATGCCTAAGTACGTATGCCTTCTCCCTGTCCCCTGTACACGCAACGTTCGACTTGTTGGACGAATGAGAGCCGCAATCTATTGTATGTACTTCACCACTCTGAAAACCTGGAATGTGATGCAGAGAGAGAGCATCCTCACTGCACTCAGCAACTGACGCTAATCGCAGCCTCTTGCAAAAGTGACGACGGGCATCAGGGTGCCAGGGTGTAAGACTCTTCTATTCATCGCCACCCCAAAATAGAGGCAACTTGAAGAGTTGGTGCGACACTCTGGCCAACAAACCCCGTTCCTCATCCACTGCGGTTATAGCGCAAGCACGGTCGAAGTCTATGATTCGCCAGCGATGTGCGTATCCATGACGAGGGCACACTACGGTCGGCTTGCGTCGCACAATCTGGGATAAGCGGAGGTCGTCGTGCCATACTCCTGCCCATGCAAGATCTTGCAGTAAATGATATACTTCCTCCCTAAACTGCCGGGTGAGATCCGGAGATGGAGAGCCACCGTGCGACGCACCTTTGACCGCTGTAAAAGGTGTACATGGCGGGCGCAGTCATCTCTTTCCCCACTCTCCCCATGATCATCAATCCAACGTCCTGGATGCCATCTTTGTTCCATTTCCAGTGTTTCCACTGTGAACTTTCGTTACTCTTGTGCTCGTCGTCGCTATAGTACTCAAGATCCTCCGACTCGGAAAACAGCTCGTCATAAATATCGTAGGTCTTTGCTAACTTCTTATCGTGGAACGCCCAACTATCGTCCCGCCAGGGAACGACCTGAGAACGCGAACACTGGGCTATGAAGAAACCAAAGTTCCGGGGCACAATAATCTTGGTGGCACCAGCCGTATCAAGCTGCTCATAGAAGCCTCCTTGGCGATACTCCGCAATCGGTTGGGCTCGGCGAGCTTGATGCATAGTCGTGGTATTTTAAATCGACCCAATGAAGACTAACTGCTCAGCGTTGAGTACCCGAGCTTCGTAAACGTGGGCGCTTCGTCCTTGACCAATGAGGTCGCCCATCTCAAGCTCTAGGTGTAACCCTTGAATAGGTATGGGATGGGGCATCATACTACTGTTGCCCTACACGAAGGATTTACAGTAGGAGCGCCACAGAAGTGCTGGAAGTACGGCTCATCGTGAGAGGGATGGGCTCCCCATCTGGAGATTCAGTTAATCCATGTATCTGAATCACGATTGAGGACAATAGGTCCAGGCACTGGTATGAGGGTCAGCGCAAGCGTCCGAGCTCCAGGAAGGTATACTACTTGCCGAGCGATTGTCAGATTGTCGCAGGTCCATCGTATACCAACGTCGACACTGAGAGGAATGAGTAGTCGGACGTGTCTTGCGGGGTTGACACGGTACCTATTACCACTGTACAAGGGGCGGTCAGAACCTTTTTTATGGGACACAAACCCATAGCCTTCAGTGTTGAAGAGGCGTGTCCGTGACGTCACGCGCATTCCCAGTGAACGCGCGCGAGAGACGCCCATGGCCAGTAACTAGTAAATACTCCAGTGGTTGCGACGCGCGACACACTGCCCATATACTTTGGTATTCCCAATTGGAATACATCGGGTGGACAACGCGCCGTTTTATGCGATACCTGTCCCATGTACAGACCGCTTTCGACTCTATTGGAATGCCACAATCTGCGCTTCGCCTTAGTATTGCCAGTGCTCTGTCCGAATGGAATGCGTTATAATATTGAGACTGTCCTATTCTTCGCCACCCCAAAACGTCGGAAATTTAAAGATCTGGTGCGACGCTCGAGCCAAGAAAGCCCTTTCCTCATCCACTGCGGTTATGGCGCACGCACAGTCGAAGTCTATGACTCGCCAGCGATGTGCGTATCCATGGCGAGGGCACACCAAGGACGGCTTGCGCCGCACGAACTGGTTCAAGCGGACGTCGCCGTGCCACACTCCCGCCCATACAAGATCTTGCACTAGATGGTATACTTCCTGCCTAAAACATCTGGTGGTATTGTGGGCTGGAGAGCAAGCTATCGTGCAACATACCTTTGACCGTTGTAAAAGGTGTACATAGCGGGCGCATCCATCACTTTTCCCAGCCTTTCCATAATCATCAGTCCGACGTCTTGTATGCCACTCCTGTCCCATTTCCAGTGCTTCCATTGTGAATGTTCGTTACTGTGATGCTCATCGTCGCTGTAGACCTCGGGCTCCTCGGGCTCGGAGGTCAACCAGTCACAGATGTCGCTAGTATCTTCTGGCTCAGACATTTCTCCATGGAACGCCCAACTTTGGTCTCTCCATGGAAGGATTTGAGAGAGCGAACACTGAGCTGTGAAAAAGCCAAAGTTTTGCGGCACAATGGCACCCTGAGCACCAGCCACATCAAGCTGCTCATAGAACCAGGCCTCTCGGGCGATGCTCCGCAATCGATTCGGCTCAGCGAGCTTGATACACAGTCGGGGTATTTTGAACCCGCCCAGTGACGGCTGTAACTGCTCGGCGTTAAGTACAGGGGCTTCATAAACATGCCCGCTTCGCCCTATACCAATGAGTTTGCCAATCTCAAGCTCAAGATGTAACCCTTGATCAGGGAGGGGCCGAGACTTCATGCTTCTCTCCCATACGGACGACGGGCTGAAGGAGCGCCACAGAAGTGCGGGAAACGACAGGGAACGCGACATTGCGAAAGGGATGGTTTTCCCACCTGAGCCTTCGGCTAGTCCACGTATCGTGATTGAGGAGAATATATCCATACACTGGATTCAGGTTCATTTGAGGGTTATGACAACACAACGGAGGCTACTTACTGAGCGATTTTCAGGGTGGGGCAGGTCCATCAGTGATTGACCAGCGGCGTTACTCAGCGGAATGATTTGTGGCATGCGGCCAACACAGTAACTATCACGAGCTTGTTTTCAACTTTCAGGGAGCATACGCGTGACGTCACGGCACTGCCAGCCTGAGCGGACGGAGAGACACGTCGCGTCGTTGTCGCGTCGTGCCACTGGACGCGACGCATCGGGCAAGATGGGACTCAGACGCTCGGCGCATTTTTTGACGTACTTGCATTTGGAAAACACTGGATGGACAATGTTGCGTTTAGAGCTCGGTGAATTACTCTCCGCTGGGTTCTCGACAGCGTTATCAACGTTATTAACAAAAATTGTAGTTATTAACATGTAATTAACATTGTCAATAACCGAAAGGCCACATTTGGCCACATTCCGTGTCCTCGACAGTACATTCGAGTCGGTGCTCGTAAAACACATCCCTAAGGCCTCAATAAATGTAGAGACATGTTCTCTTTGGAGCACTTGAAAGCCTTCGTAGGAGCATTACTGTGAGGAACAAGTTATCGAGCAGCGTGAGAGACCAGGCTTAGCACACGACGAAAACAACCTCATTGCCTGGATAGTAGGTGGCATAACTGTCTCGTCCTCCGTAGAGTGGCTTGTAGTCGCTCACGAAACACCAGATACACCCCGACACTGCCCAGAGTCTCCTTGGACAACCATATCCCGAATACCCGGTTCAGGGTAATTAACCAAGGGAAATCCGACCCTGAGATATTGACAAGTAATTAACCTGTTAATTACAGCTTGTTATTAACCGCTGCCAAGAACTCAGGGTATTTCACTGAGCTCTAGTTGCGTTCTATGCGATGCTTCTCCCCATGTACAGATCGCCTTCGACTCCATTCAAGTTGGACAATGATTGTCACAATTCGCTGTGTGGGCTTTACTAATCTGGAAAAAATAGGATCCATCTATTCGAAAAGTGCACTGGCATTCTCGCCTTCCTAACAGACAGGTATAATTGATGGGCTATCCGAACTCTTGTGTGCGCAAGAGCGCGCTCGGGAGCAAGACTATTCACTACCGCCACCCCAAAAGGTCGGCAATTTGAAGACTCGATGCGCTACTCTAGCCAGGAGAGCCCTTTCCTCATCGACTGCAGTTACGGCGTACGAACGGTCGAAGTCTATCACCCGCCAACGATGCGCATATCCATGGCGAGGGCAAACTAAGGATGGCTTGCGCCGCACGATCTGGTTCAAACGCACGTCGCCGTGCCACACTCCCGCCCACGCAAGATCTTGCAACAAATGGAGAACTTCCTTCCTGAGGTATCTGGTGAGGTTTCGATTCGGAGAGCTAAGGTACAACATACCTCTCGCCGTTGTAGAAGGTGTACATAGCGGGCACGTCCATCTCTTTCCCCAGTCTTTCCATGATCATCAGTCCGACGTCTTGTACGCCGTTCCTGTCCCATTTCCAATTTTTCCACTGTGAATTTTCGTTACTCTTCTCCCCGTCATCACGGTAGAGCGCAGGGTGCTCTGGCTCCTGCGGAAGCCAATCATGGATGTCGCTGGTGTCTGCTGGGTGTTCCATTTCGTCGTGGAATGCCCAACTACTACCTCGCCAGGGAACAACCTGAGAGAACGAACATTGTGTTGTGAAAAAGCCAAAGTTCCGGGGCACGACAACGCCCTGAGCACCGGCCGCATCAAGCTGCTCATAGAACCAGGCCTCTCGGGCGAGGCTCCGTAATCGGTTGGGCTCAGCGAGCTTGACGCACAGTCGTGGTATTTTGAACCCGCCCAGCGACTGCTGTAACTGCTTAGCGTTGAGTACGTGAGCTTCGTAAACATGACCACTTCGCCCCACGCCAATACACTTGTCAAGTTCTAGCTCAAGCTGTAACCCTTTGACGGGGGGAGGACGGGGCTTCATGCTATTGCCCCACACGAACGAATTGCTGCAGGGGCACCACAGACGTGCTGGAAACGACAGGGAACGGGTCATCGTGAGAGGAATGGGCACCCCATCTGAGGATTCAGCTAGTCCTCGTATTGTGATTGAAGAGAATAGGTCAAGGCACTGTACTCATATGAGGGTTGGAATTCCAGACGCGACAGAGACTACTTGCCGAGCGACTGTCATGTTCGGTCACGTTCCCCGTCATTTTGCAAGGAGCGCCGGGTCAAAAGGAGCACAGAGGTCGATGGCGAGTGCAGCCGTGCAGGTGCGAGTTCAGAATGAGATCGTCGACGTTGGTGACGGACGTTGAGATATATCATGATACAGTGCCACCCAAGGCCTTCACAATAAATTGAATAATATTCCGATTCCCCAAGAATCGGTAGTATCTTCAGTGGATAGCACTCTCTGGTGTGCCTGGTGGTACCGTGACCCGTCTTTGCTATTGCGCCCCCGCGTAAACACGACCAAATATTACCTTTTCGAGAAACATCATGTGACCTCCGCCGCCGCCGGTCACGTCACTCAAAATAGCGTATTGAGTAAGCTGGCTATGTAAATACATTATATTAATACAGTGCCTTGCATAAGAAACTGAACATCGCATTTCCGCGCGCATTGTTTGTCCGCGCCAAATATACCCTTTTCGGGTATCGGCAAATGTGCGGCAAAGACCCATCGAGAGGGAGGTAGCTTTACTGCGCCCCCGTGCTAGTCTCCCAAAGGCGACCGATTAAATGCCTCCCTTATAAGGCAGGTGGAGGGCAGTCGGCATATAACTAGGCTGCATCTAGTCGCGCGGCATTTGGCGTGGTGCGCATATTCCGATCACGTGACCTCATTAGCGTTATGGAATCGTCAGATAAACCGCGTTCCCCAGCGCGTCGCGACCCTCTAGAAAGAATTAATGAGCTTCAGGTACATAGTTTGAAGTGACACCAAAGTTGTGCTCAATTAGTGTCTGTTTTGGGTGCCGTATCGACCGATAAAGCCTATTCTGTACCATGATAGGCTCCAGCGCATATTGATAATAATCCATTCCCCCCATGGGCTGGTAGAAGTAATGAGTAGCAATACATATATGTTTTTAAGCTATATTGAGGTATGCTGCCGAGCGTGGTGTCTTTAAAATGAGCTCTGAAGGGTAGAGCTTCAACATGTTCCCCTTTTGGGACAGCCAGAGCTGCAGATGTCAGCAGCATGTACCGAACGAAGTTAATGCTCCTACAGCGGAAAGAGGGCGACCAAAAATCTAGAGACTACTCAAGTTGCATCAGGACCAG